CTGCTGCGCCGCGGGCGCGGCCGGCTGCTGAGGCACGTACGGCGCCGGCGCCGCGGCCGGCGCACCGTAGGGCTGCGCCGGCGGCGCAGCCGCCGCGGCCGCGGGCTGGCCGTAGGCGCTCGCCGCGGGCGCAAACTGCTGCTGCTGCTGCTGCTGCTGCTGGTGCTGCTGTGCCTGCGCGGCGGCGCCGTAGCTCGGCGTAGAGGGCAGCTGTTGCGAAGGCCCCGCCGGAGGCGCGGCAGACGGCGCCCGTTTTGGCTGGTAAACAGCTTCCTGCGGCGCCGCCACCCCCGCGCCATACCCACCGGCGGCCCCGTAGCCGCCCCCGCCGTAGCCGCCTGCAGGCTGCCCATACGCACCGCCGCCGGGCGTCCCGGGCTGCCCGTAAGCGGTGGCCGCCTGCTGCTGCCCGTACGCGCCGGCCGCGGCCGGCTGGCCGTAGGCGCTGGCGGCCGGCTGCTGCCCGTAGGCGCTCGCGGCTGTTTGCTGGCCGTAGGCGCTCGCTCCATAGGCGCTCTGCTGCTGCTGCTGCGGCTGCTGCTGCTGCTGCCCGTAGCCCCCTGCGGCCGCGGCGCCGTACGCGCCACCATATCCCGCGGCCGCCCCGTACCCGCCCGCCGCCGCCGGCGGCTGCGCCGCGCGCGCCGCCTGCGCGCCGTACTGCTGCTGCTGCTGCTGCCCGCCGGCGGCCGCGCCGTACGCGCCCGACCCCGCCGACCCAAACGCGGCGCCCGCGCCCGCGCCGGCGGCCGGCGTCTGTGGCTGCGCGCTGGGGCGGAGATCCTCCAGTTGGAAGGGGAACGGCGGCGCGGGCGCGTCGGCGGCGCCGGGGGCGCCGCTGCGGTAGATGCGGTCCCGCAGCACCGCCACGCTGGTGGAGGCCTCCCCGGGCACCATACCCAGGTACCTGCCGGGGTTGAGTGATGTACGCGGCAGGTGAACGGCCGGTTGGCGTCAAGTCAAACATTCTTTGACCATGGGCTGGCGGCGACTCCAGAAACACCAAGGGTTTGCGGAGGTGTGCGGGCTGGATCTCCTGGTGCAAAGCACGCAGACACGCCAGGCAGCCCGCCCCTCTGCCCCTTTTGCAGTGGGCGTGCGCCCGGGCGCGCGGGGGCCCAGCGGCGCACCTGAGTGCGGCGCCCATGCGTCCCTGCGTGCTGAGTATGGAGGCGTACTGCGTCACCAGGTCTGCCAGCGCGGGGCTGGAGCCGGCGCCGCTGTTGGTGGCCAGGCCCAGCACCACGCTCTTCTCAATAACGGACTGCAGTGCGTGCGTGCGTGTGTGTGTGTGTGTGTGTGTGTGTGT